ATGAACAAAAGTGAGTTAGAGATTACATTTGATAACTCTAAGATTAACTTTAGATGTCTCTGAGACAAACTTTTATAACATAGAAATTAACTTTAATGACCAAAGTGAGTTAGAGAATACCTTTGATGACTCCGAGAATAATTTTGATAGCTCTGAGAATGACTTTTGCTGTCTTGGAATAACTTTTGATTGTTCTGAGAATAACTTTTGTTGCCTTGGAATAACTTTTGATTGTTCTGAGAATAACTTTGAGGGCTTAGAGAATGTCTTTGATGAATGGAAGAGTCCCATTGAAGTCTTAAGGATGTCTTTGATGTCTCGAAGGATGTCTTTGAGTGTAACTTTGGTGTCTTTGAGTAAGTCCTTAATGTATTGAAGAGTGTCTTTGATTTCTCAAAGAGTAACTTTGGTGTAAAGGAGAGCACCTTTGGCTATTTTTCTTACTTAGCGATATATAATTTTAGTTACGAAAGTGTTGAAAAAGTTACATTTGACTCTTTTAGTTGAGGAAAAAGACAAAATATGACGAGGGAGACTATTTTTGTGCTCCCCAAAGTATAATGTCAGTTAAGAACAGCGATGAAAGATATCTTTGACTATATTTTCTTACTTGACAAAACATAATTTAGTTAAGCAAAAAGACAAAACATGATGAACATGGCTTTTTCTGTTGATTGATGGATAATTTTAGTTATGAACAGTGCTGAAAAGATTCCTTTGACAATTTTTAGCTAAGCGAAAGGCTGTTTTAGTTAAGAACGGTGTTGAATGAGGTTAATCCTGACTATTTTCAGATGAGAGAAGTGATATTTCAGTTAAGAAATGACAAGGAAACATGATGAAGTAACTATTTTTTAGTTGACCGATGAATACTTTTAGTTGAGCAAAAGCCAAAACATGATGAACATGACTTTTTCTGATGATTGGCAGATAATTTTAGTTATGAAATGACAATGAAACATGAAGAACACGGTTATTTTCTGATGAATGGGGAATATGTTTAGTTAAGAAATGATGAAAGTTATTATTTTTAGTTGATTGACGATGGATAAAAGCTAGTTATGAACAGTTTTGGAAAGTTTCCTTTGACAATTTTTTCTTGATGAAACATAGCGCCTGTTAAGAAAGTGCTGAAAAAAGTTTCCTTTGACAATTTTTAGCTAAGAGAAAGGTTGTTTTAGTTAAGAACAGTGTTGAACGAGGCTATTTCTGACTATTTTTAGTTGACTGGATAATAAGTTTAGTTGAGAAACGACGAAAGTGACTATGTTTTAGTTGATTGGTGAAAGATTTTTTAGTTAAGGAACGTTAGATAACATGTAAGGGGAAAAACCCAGAGAACATATGGGGAACATGGCAAAGAACATATGTAAGAAAAGTTGATGAATACAGTGAACATGAAAACATGATAAGGAGAATAGGGAATACAAAGAATGAATAATGGACTTGTGAAGAACATGGAGAATATGACAAAGAATGTAGAAAACATGTAAGTGAAGGTGAAAAAAACGAAGTGATCTTGTGAGGAACATGAACTTGTAGAGGAACATGAATATTGCAAAGAACACAAAATATGGAAGTTAGCATGAATATTGAGTATAAAAGTTGTAAAGAGAACATGTGATGAACATGAAAACATAGAAAATATGACTAGAATTTGTAGAGAAAGTAATGAGACTAAGAGAAAGATTACAGAAAAATGGAGATACTTGTGAAAATATAAACTGAATGGGACTGTGAACATTTGAAGAACATGGAGTGAACATAGAAAACATGGACAAAATGTGAAGAACACAGCTGAATATAGAGAAAATATGCAAATACAGTATGATTATTGAAGGTTTGGATACGTTGGGGATGAGAAGGGTAAAGTAAATACTCTGATAAACAGATAGGCTGAGAGGGACTTGATCGAATATATTTATGTCTGATGATCTAAGGCTGAGGAAATGGAGCTTGGTTAATGCCCCGATTAATTTTACTACGTTAGAAATACGGTGATCTTAAATCTCAGGGTGATTTAGTTGGAAAATAAAGAACTTGTACAAATGAACTAAGCTGGGGCACAAGAGTTGAAACTTGATAACTGACTTGATCTTATTTACTATGTCTGAAAATGTAGTTGAGTGTTTAAATCTCAGGGGGATTTGGACTGATAGTAATGAATTTACCGGAGTGAACTTGGATAGAGGACAAGAGCTAGAGTTTTATAATTGTTTTCATCATATTTACTATGTCTGAAATACAGAGGGTAAAAATTTTGGGGAAATTGATGGTTTATTACAAAGATATGAAAGAGAACTAAGGCGGGGACGAGAGCTGGAGCTCAGTAACTGACTTGATCTTATTTACTAACTTTGAAGTATGTCTGCTTTTAATTTTAGGGAAATTGATGGGTTATTTACAAAGATACGAAGGAGAACTAAGGCGGGGACGAGAGCTGGAGCTCGATAACTGACTTGATTTTATTTACGGTGTCTGAAATACAGAGGGTAAAAATTTCAGGGAAATTGGTGGTTTATTTACAAAGATATGAAAGAGAACTAAGGCGGAGGACAAGCGCTGGAGCTTGGTAACTGTTTGATCTTATTTATGGTGCCTGAAATACAGAGGGTAAAAATTTCAGGGAAATTGGACTGATACTAACGAAGATACGAGAGAGAGCTAAGGCGGAGGACAAGCGCTGGAGCTTGGTAACTAAATTACTGTATTGAACTACGTTTGAAATATGATTATTTTTAAATTTTAGAGGGATTGGAATGATAGTATTCATTATACGACAGGGGACTAAGGTGGGGGAACGTGAGCTAGAACATGCTTACTAACATGATTTATTTGTGTAAAACTGACTTGCTTAATGAAAAGGAGAAAACATACGATGTTGGAAAATAGTTGAACTGAACTGAATGAAAGGAGAGAGAGAGAGAGAGGAGGGAGAGAGAGAGAGGAGGGACGGTCCAGATATTATGAAGATAAGATAAGATTAAGAGCCGACTGGCTGTCCGGGCGTAAAGTAAATAAAGGTGACGCGAGAGATTGCGAGGTAAGGGGGGAGGGAGGGGGGTGTGAGGTACGAAACACTGAAAACCATGACTTACACAGGTGATTTTCTAAATTTATATGAAAACTATGGCTTACACAGACGATTTTGTAAGTTGAAAACATGTAAAATATGTCCGTAGAGTTCTCCTGGAAGCCCTAAAGAGCTACATACGTTACTTGAATTTGTCCCATAAGGCCTTAACAAACTTCTAAGTCTCGGAAATTATTTTTCTCATAAGAACTTTAACAAACTCGTATGACATTATTTACATCATAAGAAACCTTAACAAACTTCTAAGTCTCGGAAATTATTTTCATCATAAGAAATCCTTACTTCTAAAATCTGTGACTGACAAAATTTACCTGAAACCCTGGCTAACACGCGGGATATTTACCAGAAAAAACAAAAGGAGCCGCTGGCTCTTACAGTCCACAGGGGTCCTCCGGCCTGAAAAAAAAAAGGAGCCGCTGGCTCTTACAGTCCACAGGGGTCCTCCGGCCTGAAAAAAAAGGAGCCGCTGGCTCTTACTCCCTACTACTGTTACATATGGGTTATCACCTCAATATTTGCTAAACCTTCTAATCAGGTCAGGCTTGATGAATAACTCTCAAGGAGGGAGACTCGTTTCTCCTGTAGGCTGAGATCATAACATTACCCAACCAAGACTTGGTAATGGTCCAACACGGACCGAAACGTCGTTTCTTAATATTCTGATGAGTGATTTGGTCATCAATTACCCATCCAGTTACTGGTCACATCAAACAATACATGTGACCTCAACTCTAACGACTTTACTGATAACTTCTAGCGTCTGATATTTATTGGCAAACATTGCTTATAATGTTATTTGATTGAACAGTGTCTAATGTTCTGTGCTTGATCAAAATGATATATGGATCTTTATTATGATTTGTGTTGGACTTTTGGCCTTTTAACCTCCTGGAGGCCACATATAAGTACATTTAAGCAAATCCACAAGGGCCGTGACGAGGATTCGAACCTGCGTCCGGGAGCATCCCGGACGCGTGATGCCTTAATCGATATTTGCATTTGATGCATCATGATAGTGTGATTTCTGTGTGTACATTTAAGCACATATAAGCACCTCCTATATGGCCACCACAGTACGTAACTCACTCCATCAAGTATACTTTAAACTAAAGTCTTGTGTGTGTATATATACAGTGTATATACACCGGGAAGTGGAATACACACACACACACACACCACACACACCCTTGGGTGTTTTGTGTTTCCGTGTGTTTGTGCTCTCCATCTATTGTCGCTTAAAGTTTGTTTCAAATTGTTTCATTGATTAACTGAAAATATATATTCTTTCATTTATATGCATTTGTGCATTTTGATTTATATTTGACGTGTTGCATTGTGTATTGTAGCTATTGCTGTGTGTTTTTTAGGGGGGAGGAGTGGGGGGAGACCTTTTGATTACTGTATATGCCAATGTTTCAATTACTTCCTCGCATTATAATATTCATTCATTTCCCCTCACCCCTTTTTCCTCTGTATGCATTACATTAATAATCCCTACATCCCTATCAATGTAATAATAATTGTTATTGCAAATTGTTTTGTCTCGATCTGTAACTGTTTTGTCTAGCTAGAAACATGTGAATAAAAAAAATCCTAGCGCCCCTCTTAATCTATTGTGGTCGACGGGTAGAAAACGGCAGTATATTACCCTTCTATCATTTGTACCAATACGTCACCTTTTTAACGGGTACTGCAACAAATCCGAGGGTGTGTGTGTGTGTGTGTGTGTGTGTGTGTGTGTGTGTGTGTGTGTGTGTGTGTGTGTGTGTGTGTGTGTGTGTGTGTGTGTACTCACCTAGTTGTGCTTGCGGGGGTTGAGCTCTGGCTCTTTGGTCCCGCCTCTCAACCGTCAATCAGTCGTGTGTGTGTGTTATGGGTGAAATAACACGGCTTTGTTCTTCGGCAGGGAATCTTGGGCTCCGGGTTCGCCCTCAAAGTACAACAGAAACAGCGTCAGAAGCATTTTAACCGCCAGATCCCAGCAGCCGCCATGTTGATCCAGTGTCTATGGCGCTGCTATGCCGCAGATAAGCATTTCAATTCCACTGCGACCTGGAAGATCCACTTGAAAGACCCGAACGCCAACAGCAACTCTCAGTCCACTCCTCTCAGCAAGGTATGTTCTCCTCTATACATTTCTTGAACATGGTTCTATTTTATAGAAAGTATAAAGCATTTAAATCTATCTCGGTATGGTTCGATAGAGAATTTTGAGTCAGTTTCGGACCTGACCAACTTGCATTAATGTTAGCAGTGTAATTTTGATTACACTGGAATTACAATATAATTCTTGACTTCCTATATCATTATTACCTGTAATAAGATCATTACCTATAACTGTAGCAAGTTTCACTTGTGTGTAGTGACCCGGAACGCAAGTTCGATCCTATTGCATTGCTCCAAAAATATGTGCTCATCGATACAATACGATACTGTGAGTTCATTGTGCAACCCGTTCTTGCACTTGCCTATAGTCAATATTGGCTTATTTAATAAGTGCTTATGTGACATACTAATTGATTGTAAATATTTTAGTTTACCTTGATAAGCATCATAGAAAACACCGACCTCACCTAACCTTCTTAGTATGTTAAGACAAGCATCTTATTGCTTCTTAATTACAATTATTACTTAACCTATGCCGTTGATAGTTTAAGTAATAATTGTAAATAAAAAGCAATAAGATGCTTATCTTAACATACTAAGAAGGTTAGGTGAGGTCGGTGTTTTCTATGATGCTTTTCAAGGTAAACTAAAATATTTACAATCAATTAGCATGTCACATATGCACTTATTAAATAAGCCAATATTGACTATAAGCAAGTGCGAGAACGGGTTGCATTGTGTATGAATACCGTACACTACTGTTCGTTAACCCTTGCGTATAGTGACTATACATGTATCAGTCATGTATACACTGGTAACGTACGGTAGGTATGAATTAATTCATGATGGATATTTCTTATTGCAATTTGAATGGAAATTTGTTTTGTTTATATACTCAGAACATCATCAATAATGCCATACATATGTATTATTCATACATATGAATTATTCATACATATGAATTATTCATACATATGAATTATTCATACATATGAATTATTCATACATATGAATTATTCATACATATGAATTATTCATACATATGAATTATTCATACATATGAATTATTCATACATATGAATTATTATTCATTATTCATATGTATTATTCATACATATGAATTATTTATAAATATGAATTATTCATACATATGAATTATTCATACATATGAATTATTCATACATATGAATTATTCATACATATGAATTATTTATAAATATGAATTATTCATACATATGAATTATTCATACATATGAATTATTCATACATATGAATTATTCATACATATGAATTATTCATACATATGAATTATTCATACATATGAATTATTCATACATATGAATTATTCATACATATGAATTATTCATACATATGTATTATTCATACATATGAATTATTCATACATATGAATTATTCATACATATATGAATTATTCATACATATGAATTATTCATACATATGAATTATTCATACATATGAATTATTCATACATATGAATTATTCATACATATGAATTATTCATACATATGAATTATTCATACATATGAATTATTCATACATATGAATTAATATTTATAATGAATTATTCATACATATGAATTATTCATACATATGAATTATATTTTCATAGAATTATTCATACATATGAATTATTTATAAATATTTAATTATAAATATATATTTTATAGTGTTTAGAAATTAATGGCTGTTTACATGTCAATTTTTTTACATTTTTTAAATTTTAGCATTTAAATTTGTGAGAAATACATTAGGAGCTATGATGTGGAATCGAACTTATGGACTGGAAACTCCCAGGCAAACTCTCTAGACCACTACACCACGACATGGTCAAAGGCATTGCAACGTGCAATGATTTTCTCACTGATTCATCACATTAATGTGATTTCGTTGTGAATTTAAATTTGAAGTATTTATCTAAATATTTAAATTATATAATATTTTTCTGCCATACATTGAATATTATGTAATAATCTGCAGTGTTTTCAGTCGTATATGAATGGTCCCCAAGCCAATATGCAACCGAAAACTCCTCACCCATGAAGGATTCGAACCCAGATAGCCAAGGCTCTACGAACCTCAGCGTATCAAGTACTATACCCACTATACCACGACTGACTGTACTAAAATGTTGCAAGTCGTGAGACTTTTACCCAATACCCGACAGCACTCGATGGTCAATTTTAGGGTACAGATATTTCATCAAATCAGTCGAGTGTTGGGTAAAAGTCTCACGACTTCCAACCGTTTTGTACTTTGTTGTGGTCTAGTTGCTATAGTACTAGATACACTAGGAGTTCATAGAGCCATGACTGTCTGGGTTCGAATCCTTCAGAGGGTGAGGATGTTCGGTTATATTAAACAAATTAAAAAAAGACTCTTTCATAGGTATGTTACCAGCTTGGAAAGAGACCTTCTTAAAAGGTTACAAAATTAAAGCACTTTTGCTGTCAGAAAAATATATGAGTCTCCCCAATAGACGTCAATTCTAATGTCTTCCCCTCTTCTTGAATCACTAATTTTAACATGCAAAGTCTATAAGCATATATGTTAATCCAGAATTCTCTGGGATTTATACGTAATCTTTATCATACATCATTCATATTGCTTTGCTTGTCAGAATGTTGGGCAGATATAATTAAAAGTAAATTTCCTGATGCTTTTTAGAACTGTTTTGTTAAAAGCACAACATTAATGTTTATGGCATTTGTTGCTTGGGAAATGTGACTATATAAATGCATGATGTTTATTCATATTTTAATCACAGCAGAGTATTTACACTTTGTTTTGATTTGCTTTGTAATATTATTTTCTGCGCTGGCCCACTCTCCTGGGGCCAGATTCACGAAAGCACTTACGCAAGCACTTACGAACCTGTACATCTTTCCTCAATCTTTGACGGCTTTTGGTTACATTTATTAAACAGTTTACAAGCATGAACACTTGCCAATCAACTGTTGTTATTGTTATAAACAGCCTCCTGGTGCTTCGGAGCTCATTAACTGTTAAATAATTGTAAACAAAGCCGCCAAAGATTGAGAAAAGATGTACAGGTTCGTAAGTGCTTGCGTAAGTGCTTTCGTGAATCTGGCCCCTTGTCCTTAGACAAGATCCTGTTGACGCCCTGTTTACATGCTTGAGCCCTAACGAGAGAGCGCCCCGGGACGCCCCCAGCGACGCTCCTTGGAACTATGGTGACTCTTCCCGCTGGGTCTGATTGGTGCCAACTGACTAGGCACTATAGCACTATAGCAATGGCACTATAGCACTATAACAGTGGGCACGGCACGTGTTAGGGGTGAGGTCTGGCGCATTAAGACTATGCCTGTAATCTACTAGATTTGACAAATGAACAAATCCACAAGGGCCGTGACGAGGGTTCGAACCTACGTCCGAAAGGATCCCACAGACGCTGCCTTAATCGACTAGATTTGTTACTAGATTTGATACATTGTACTAGATTTCTGTACTAGATTTGTTGCATTTGGAATTCTTTGTTTAGATATAATAATAATAATAATAATAATAATTTTTATTTAGGTAAAGGTACATACATAAAGAGATTTTACAAAGTTTGTTGGCTTTATAGATAGAGCTAGTACATACAATGCTATTGGGATTCGATTTGTATCCGGCCTTAAAGTTGTGGATGGAGGTGGCTTCTACAACCTCTTCTGCTTTCGATACATTCCATTTGCTGTCCAGTCCTTCAATACTCGAGTATTTCCTTAAATTTGTTTACTCATTTTGCGTTTCCAGCTTTCTTCTATGTTCTTTTGTTCTATTTCATCGCACTTTAAAGAGACTATCCTTGTCAATTATGTCTAGACCCCCCTTAATATCTTGCATATAGCGATCATGTCTCCGTGTTTTCCTTGTCTTCTCAAGCTTTGTGAGATGGTGCGTGGGATCCACTAGAGAACATTTAGTCCAGCCCAGAATGACAAAATTTATTTACATAAAACTCAAATCCGTTATTGGCGTAATTTGACATCACAGTTGTAACACTGTACTGAGCACTGTATCACAACACCCGAATGCCATCTGGTGGAGCGCCACCAGCTGGCTAGTTAGGTTAGGGCACTCTTTAGTACGACAGTTTCTGGACGTTGGGAACGTGTTGTTAGAACGGACTGAAGATTAGCTTTCTGAGTAGTACCCTTGGCGGTTTCTGTCCTGCCGCTCCACGTCTTCCCCTCTCAACCTCCTCTGTCACCATAGTGGACGGGACTTCTCTGTCTCCATAGTGGACGGGACTTCTCTGTCTCCAAAGTGGACGTGACTTCTGTCAACATATTGGACGGGACTTCTCTGTCTCCATAGTGGACTGGAATGATTATTTATCATGTTTCAGAGCCTCGCTAGTACCACTAAGACTAGAGGGTATAGAGGAATGTCTTCCTGCTTGGACTTGAAGGCGCCAAACCTTAAAAAAAAAACTCAGACCAGGAGTACGTCAAACATCTTAGCAACACCTTACGAAACCTCTGCATCATTCCTCGAGCGTGGCGTCTTCGTATACATTCACTACACAGTTTATGAGTTTAGGAGCGTCAAAACCCCATTGTTATTATTGGTATCAACAACCTCGTAATGTTCGTATCTCGTAAACTGTTTGATAAATGTAAACAAAGTCTGCCATGCTCGAGGAAAGATGTAGATGTTTCGTATCGTAAGCAATACTTGGTGACTCTTGACCCAAGGGTCGGTATATAGGATCTTGTCTTACAAGGAACAAAAGACTAATCCTCTTGGAAAAGCGCTTTTTTTCATATTCACTCAAAAGCCTGATTTTTTTTTCGTTGATTTCATTTGTTTTATAATGTGCATAAAACTGGTATGAGTTTTATTTAAATAAAACACATTGAATTACAATGCATCCCATACCAATGATCGCTAATTTTGCATCTCCAAATTGTATAATAATTATGCCAGACAATAACTAAAAAAAAATGTTATGTTCTTTCTCTTTGAACTATATACAAAAGATACATTTCTACTATTTTTGACTTGTAGACATTAAAATAAACTCTTTTAGAACTTATGCTTGTGCGGCTAAATTGGTTGAGCATATCTGACTAATACTTTATTGCTAATGTCAATGTTCAATACTGTAGTATGTTGGTTCACTTTTGCAGGAGAGTTCTCTGAATACACCACTAAGCAAGGTGAAGTATCGTACTGACTTTACACACCATATAGCAACCCTTTTATATCTGTTCGTTAATTTGACACACTTTTGCCTTGTGCAATATATATATACACATTTCTTTTTAAAATTACATAGGCAGTGTATCACAGACATTTGTTTGTAATAAATGCAGTGTTCAAAGCCCTTTTCTTTTTCAATAACACAGCTTATTGTGTATATGTAGTACGAATTGTGTATATGTAGTACGAATTGTGTAAGAACATGTATAATTGGCAAGCTGAAACAATTATGTGATTGTATTAAATCTGCCAAATGTATCTATTCTTAGTACTGGGTGAATGTATCGTGAATGTGGACACCGGTATCATTACAGTTAGTTTGTTGTATAAGTGTACTGTGGTTGTATTTTATTGTAAAACTGCAGCTGTATGCATGTGCATGGATATATATAGGAGTGTGGATTTATTTCAACCATAAACACACACACATATATAGGAACATGTGTCTCTGGCATACCATTAATGTGTAGTGAACTGACTGACAGGCACCGCAGTTGTTCCCGTTCCACACCTGCTAGACACCACAGCTGTTACTGCTTCACATCTTCCAGATGCTATAACTGTTCCTGTTGCATACGTGCTAGACTCTACAATTGCTCCAAACCTGTCAGACACCACAATTGTTCCTGCTCCACACACGCCAGACACCACAACACTCCCACACACACACACACACACACACCAGACACCACAACACTCCCTCCTCCACACACACACACACCAGACACCACAACACTCCCTGCTCCACACATACACCAAACACCACAACACTCCCTCCTCCACACACACACCAGACACCACAACACTCCCTCCTCCACACACACACACACACCAGACACCACAACACTCCCTCCTCCACACACACACACACCAGACACCACAACACTCCCTCCTCCACACACACACCACCAGACACCACAACACTCCCTCCTCCACACACACACACACCAGACACCACAACACTCCCTCCTCCACACACACACACACCAGACACCACAACACTCCCTCCTCCACACACACACACACAGACACCACAACACTCCATGCTCCACACACACACACACCAGACACCACAACACTCCCTCCTCCACACACACACACACCAGACACCACAACACTCCCTCCTCCACACACACACACACCAGACACCACAACACTCCCTCCTCCACACACACACACCAGACACCACAACACTCCCTCCTCCACACACACACACACCAGACACCACAACACACCTGCTCCATCCATGCAATATAGGGCGTTTTCTTGCATTCGTAACACTGTGAAATAATTCCTAGTCTTGCAAGCGTGTGATGTTGACCACCATCCAGTCACTTGCATGCTGACCCTGCAAAAAAAAAAATTAAAAAGTGAAAATGTACGTATATGTTGTTCAACATTATTCTGTTTACATGCATTTTAGTGATTTTATTTTTCCCTGCCATATTGTTCTTGCAGATATCATATACAACTAACATCTTAACCCAACGTTATTTATGATGTGATTATTTTAACGTCATTTTGTATTTTTGTGAGTTTTTTTGTATTTTGTATTTTTTTTTCGTATGGAAGAAGATGTGCACGGAGAGTAGTGCACTACTTTGGGAAGCACGGGGGAGTAGTGCACTACTTTGGGAAGCACGGGGGAGTAGTGCACTACTTTGGGAAGCACGGGGGAGTAGTGCACTACTTTGGGAAGCACTAAGAGTATAGTGTCCTGGAGAGAGCTCTACTCTGGCACCAGGCTGGTGTGGCCTCACAGTGCCACGACTAAGTGCCGTGTCACATGATCATGCCGTGCCAGGAAGACAGGAGCAGAGCTCATAGCACGCCACGTACATGAGGACATAAGAATTAAAAAAAAAAAACTTGCGAGGGGGCCTATACGAAGCAGCTTCAATTTATATCCATCCAAATTCATATATATATATTTCTAAGCTAAGCTTGAAATTATGCCAATCATTTCCCCCTTTCTCCGAACCTTCCTCCCCCCCCTCTCTCTCCCCTTTCTCAGAAAATTGACTTAGAATCATTGAAACAATTGTATGGGTCTCTCGCATAATATATGTATTGCAATCAGTAAAATTCTAGGGGAAACACATCAAATATTTCACACTGGACTCAATAAAAGTCGTTTGGGGGGTCTTTATAAATTTCCCCTGCAAATTTGGGTGATTCTAGACACAAGCGAATTGCCTCCTCCTATTGGACAGATAGACAGACAGACAGACATTATCTTGTATATGTGTGAAGTACACACTTGTCTGCATCGCAAAAGTAATATTTAATGTATATTGATGAGCTTTAATGTATATTAACCAGCAAAGACCTCTTGTTTTGTTGTTTACAAACGTTTTAATACTTTTTTTGGCATGTTTTGAAGCTCGTGTGTGTGTCAACTGCATGTTTTCTTTCGGTTGGTGGATAATCCCATAGAGGAACACTTTATTGCATTTTCTTGAACTTCATTCAATAATAACGTATTCTTCTTAGAATTGCCATCTAGGTGGTCATTCAGTACGACTGCTGTCTTCATTTTAATACCATGTCTATTTTCAACTTTCCACATCTTGACAAACAAATCTCCTCACGTCCTTGTTTAGATATTAACAATCAAATATTGTTAATTGAAAAAGAAGCAAAACTTATTTAATAAATATAATAAAAAATTGTGTGTGTGTGTAAAGTGCCATTTTTCACTGGAGATTATGACCGTATTGTCTCCTGTCGACTTTAAGTGTCCATGTTTCCTCTAGATGGCGAAGAGGGCAAGTGTATTGCGGAGAAGAAAATCCAAAAGCAAGATGGATGTTTCGTCGGCCCCAGAGTGCTCGAGCAGAAGAGACAGCGAAGGTGACATGGTCTTCTACGTTGAGGAGCCTAGGGCAGGTTTGTGATATCTTAAGGAAACACAGACAAAATATGCATATTGTGTTTAGAAAATGAAGAGAGATTATATAGAGAAAAGGGGGGATAGATAAGGTGATGGTATGAGAGAGAGAGAGAGAGAGAGAGAGAGAGAGAGAGAGAGAGAGAGAGAGAGAGAGAGAGAGAGAGAGAGAGAGAGAGAGAGAGAGACAGACAGACAGACAGACAGACAGAGAGACAGAGAGACAGAGAGACAGAGAGACAGAGAGACAGAGAGACAGAGAGAGAGAGAGAGAGAGAGAGAGAGAGAGAGAGAGAGAGAGAGAGAGAGAGAGAGAGAGAGAGAGTGGTAGCCTCATAGTGAACAGGTGTGATAGATAATCTTGATGTTTTACACTCACATATATACTGTATATACATATATATGTGTGGTTGTTTATGTGCCTTATCTTATTAGTGATGCCTCATGTGTACATGTCTTATGTTGTTTGTTCATGTACTCAATGTTATCATGTCATTATCAACCATGAGCTGTGTTTATTTAAGGATTTACTCCCGTTAATAAGTATAACAAAACATTTACTCAAACCATCTACTCAAGCAGCAGTTTTACAGCACTTTTAGACCTAGTAAATACTTTTATTTAGTTGCAATTCCTCATCACACTTTACTCGTTGAAAAATAAAATTTGTACTAATTCATAAAAAAATAAAACAATTACACAGACAACTTTTGGACAAGAGTGTCTGTATCTCAGTTTTGGCAACCACCATTATGCAATATGTGTTCATGTAAGCTCAAGTAGTGCTTGTTTAGCTGTTGTCGAGCCAACACAGAGTAGCTCAGATGCCTTCCATGTCTCAAGCCTTGTGTTTAACCCCACACTTTAAAAAAAACAAAAAAAAAAACAGAGTCGTGAGAGCCTTGTGTGTTGTCGCAGCTCGAACCTGTAACACAGTTTGTCATGTCCGTGTTGCAAGGCTTCCACCACACACCCGAGGCCTCCCTCACTTCCCCCCCTCATTCGTCCTCACTGGGGGTGGTAGAAGTAGAGATAACCAAGTGAACAACACTTCAGAATCTGTCAACTTTTTGCCCCTTGGGGGAGAGTCATAAGGAGAGGTTACAAGGGGCGTAGTGGATTAGGGGGGGAAAGGTGTGTGTGTAGGCACGGGCGTGCTGGTGTGGCGTAGTGTAGCGGCAGCGTGTATTGATGTGGTGTGGTGGTGTCATCTGTTGCATGGGTGTAGAGGAGGTGGCGCGACGCTGGTCGTCCATGGCTCGCCTGAAGGGCATGTTAGGCTGCGTCTCGCCCATCAATGAAATACCCGTGGCACCGCCCACCACTACCCACCTGGGCAACCCTGGGCGAGCCAGGGGCCTCTCTAGGTCCCGCAGCTACGAGTGTACGGGTAAGTTGTGTCTTAGAACAGTAATTCTGACCGTATAAAGAAGGACAGAAAATGATCAGAATATTCTCTTGCCACTGTCTAAAATAAGTCTTGTCATACTTGGTATTTAATGTATATCACTTTTAGTACAGCAAATTAATTCTGCTCAGTATATATGCATCTGGACAATAGCCCGATTTTGTTTTTAATATATTTTATATGAAGCTAAATATAGTGTTTTATAAAGCTAAATGTAACTTATGATGTTTAAATGCAGTTTATATGTGGCTAAAAGTAACTTATTTGATGCTAAATATAGCTTATATGTGGCTAAAAGTAGCTTATTTGATGCTAAATATAGCTTATATGAGGCAACATATAGCTTATGTGAGGTTAAATGTAGCTTATGAGGCTAAATATAGCTTACGTGAAGCTACATTTATGAGGCTAAATATAGCTTACACGAGGAAACATATAGCTTATATGAGGCTAAATGTAACTTATATGAGGTTACATATATCTTATGTGAGGTTATATATAGCTTATTTAGGCTACTTATAGCGTACATGAGGCAAAACGTAGCTTATGTGACGCTACATATAGGTTACATAAGACTAAATGTAACTTATGAAGCTTCATATAGCTTATATGAGATTAAATGTAGCTTATGAGGCTAAATGTATTATATATATATATATATATATATATATATATATATATATATATATATATATATATATATATATATATATGTCGTACCTAGTAGCCAGAACGCACTTCTCAGCCTACTATGCAAGGCCCGATTTGCCTAATAAGCCAAGTTTTCATGAATTAATTATTTGTCGACTACCTAACCTAACCAACTTTTTCGGCTACCTAACCTAACCTAACCTATAAAGATAGGTTAGGTTAGGTTAGGTAGGGTTGGTTAGGTTCGGTCATATATCTACGTTAATTTTAACTCCAATAAAAAAAAATTGACCTCATACATAATGAAATGGGTAGCTTTATCATTTCATAAGAAAAAAAATAGAGAAATATATTAATTCAGGAAAACTTGGCTTATTAGCAAATCGGGCCTTGCATTGTAGGCTGAGAAGTGAGTTCTGGCTACTAGGTACGACATATATATATATATATATATATATATATATATATATATATATATATATATATATATATATATATATATATATATATATATGATGCTAAATATAGCTTATATAATCTAAATGTAGCTTAAATGATGCTAAAGGTAGCTTATATTAGGCCAAATGTAGCTTAAATGATGCTAAAGGTAGCTTATACGATGCAAAAATATAGCTTATATGATGCTAATTGTAGCTTATATGATGGTAAATGCCGCTTATATGATGCTAAATATAGCATGTATCCTATTTTCAGTCCTACTTTTGGCAGTCTGTGCTTGTAAACACTAGAATCTAATGCCAGCATCTGTTAAGAAATTAGATGATAGTATTTCAGCCAAGTGATCAGTGATGTTTTGCGTTGCAATACAACTTAATATATATAAGTTGAATATTATCATTGAGATTGATTTCAGCTCGATAAAATGTAAACAAATACAGAATACAGTATATAATAATACTGTATTTTATTCATAATATATATATATATATATATATATATATATATATATATATATATATATATATATATATATATATATATATATATATATATATCAAGGAACATGTTACAGTGATTATGTAGTAAGTACAGTATTTATATATTATATGAAACCATTAAATTATGTATATGTATATATTGTTTTGTTAATAAATCTCACGCATAAATACAGAGCAAAGGAATATATATTCCTGTGTTCTATAATAATTCCTATTATAGGAATATATATATATATAGAATATATATATTCAAGGGAAAGTTTAGGTGCTTGCAGTCCATCGTAATTACTAATCACACTGACGCTGTAAATACTAAAAAGATAATTAACGTTATTATTTGCATTAATAATGTGCAGTTCTGTATTTCATTAAAGCTTAATAGGTTATACTTTATTTTGGTTACGTCATTCGTAGCGTTTCAGAGGTGAGATCCAATTTTTGTGTACCTTTAAACATTTTTATAATACAGTGTATATAAAATATGTTTCGTTATATCTGAGAGCCTGGATATTAAATATTAAAAGAATGCTAAATAAATTCCTCCCCCCCCCCCCACTTTTTTGTCTAGTTTTAGGCCCTATCCAAAAATGATTTTACTACAGTAATTTGTTCGACTTTTTTTTGTATATATATATATTTGGTCATCGACAAATTACAATTAGTATTTTTCTGTAATGCTTTTATATATATATATATATATATATATATATATATATATATATATATATATATATATATATATATATATATATATATATATATATATTTATATATATATATATATATATATATATATATATATATATATATATATATATATATATATATATATATATATATATGTTTGTTACGTTCTCAAAGGTTTTTGTTTTAACTATTTTTTGAGTGTTTGTGTGTGTGCTTATTCAACAATTACTCATCAACAGCTTTGCGATGATTGCATCATATATTATCTTTTTTTTTTAATTTTGTTTCAAAACAGCGATCATAAAAATTATATTTCTATTCAAAATTATAATGAATCAATACTGATTATTATTTACTTGTCTCAACAACTGAACAAAGAGCTAACATCACTTTTCTGAAGACCCTTGTTAGAAGTGAGGAGAAATTATTGATTGATAATCTAAGCCTGAGCCAACATCCAAATTCACAACATTTAAACCACTGGCAAATAAATTAGAAATTTAGGGATCAATTTTAGAATACAATTATCAACAAAAAATTAGCCAAAATCAGCCAACCTACAAAAAAAAAAAGTTTTGTTGACTCTTTTCTTTTTAATCTGTTAAGAATATATATTATGTGATATTTAGTGGCCCGGAGAAGGAGGTAATTACACAGCTCATTCTTCCTTACTAACAGCTGGAACGCCTAGCCGAAGCCGTCGGGAAGGAGGACCAAGGACTTCGGCGTTACATAGTCAAGCCTCCTCCGTCACCGAAGTAGCCTCCGATGACATTGATCTCGACAATGACGAACCTCAGGGCTTTACCTCGTAAGTTGTTGAAGTCTGAATACCTCGTAAACTTCATTCGATACTCCTTGCCTGAATTAATGCTAAGAGAAACTTTTTTTTTTTGCATTTTTTTCGAATACGTCATAATTTTTAGTGCCAGATTATTTTTTTCAGGAAGGTCACAATAGTTTTATCTATATAGAGTAAATATTTTCCAACTCGTCCTCCAGAAATGATAGTACATTTAGCAGCTGTTAAAAACATACAACGTTAAAAGGTAAGAACGCACATAAATGGACTGTTTTATATAAATAGCATTCACAATGGCACTTCAGATGGGACGCTAAAAAGTTGAACAGTAGCTACACAACCTAACCTAATCTCATTTGCCCTAAATAACCGATCCTAGAACTAATATATGCCATCTTAGATATTTGTACCGTATTAGGCGTAGGAAGGAGTAGGTGTTGTTGACACCTGTTTTTCTCGTGGCTCCCTGCAAAGTTGATAGTAGAAATCGTCAACTTTTATGGATCCAACAGTGCATTTCCTTACGTTTGACCACAAGTTGCTGTACGTTCTCACACTTTTGGACGACATGGTGCAATTTTCACTAAACTCAGCATAACCTATCATGATTAGGCTTTTATATTTCAATAATTAGGCTTTATATATATATATATATATATATATATATATATATATATATATATATATATATATATATATATATATATATATATATATATATATATATCATCACCAGAATAGTTAAACTTATGATGTCTTACTCTTGAGGACATTTTGGTATACACAAGACATGTGACACGAGGTGCCTGTGACACCTAGCTCCTGTCACACAAGGCTTTTGTGTCAACAGACTCCTGTGACACCAGACTCCCGTGACACAAGGCTTCATTGACACCAAACTCTAGTGACACAAGGTGCAAGTGACACGAAGCTTCTGTAACATCGAATTCCAGTGACAACAAACTCCTGTAACACTAGGCTTGTGTGACACAAGGCCCCTGTGACACCAGGTTCTCGTGACAACAGACTCCTGTGACTTACAATGTTTGGCCCCCGGGTAGTTAAGAGTATTACATTAACTTATCCCTGGGATAAGAGGGATAATTAATGACAAATTTCCATCTCCCGTGCAGGGAAGTGTGTCTCGCTCAAAATGTGCGATGAATGAATCCTTAAATGTCTTTTACTCTTTATTTCCGACTTGCTGCTCCCGGTACAGTCTGGGATTTTGTCACGGATTCCCTCCCACCCACATCCCAGCCTTCCCACACACATCCCAGCCTTCCCACACACATCCCAGCCTTCCCACAAACATCCCAACCTTCCCACTCACATCCCAGCCTTCCCACACACATCCCAGCCTTCCCACACACATCCCAGCCTTCCCACCCACGTCCCAACCTTCCCACACACATCCCAGCCTTCCCACACACATCCCAGCCTTCCCACACACATCCCAACCTTCCCACACACATCCCAGCCTTCCCACACACATCCCAGCCTTCCCACACACATCCCAGCCTTCCCACACACATCCCAGCCTTCCCACCCACGTCCCAACCTTCCCACACACATCCCAGCCTTCCCACACACATCCCAGCCTTCCCACACACATCCCAGCCTTCCCACACACATCCCAGCCTTCTCACACACATCCTAGCCTTCCCACACACACATCCCAGCCTTCCCACACACATCCCAGCCTTCCCACACACACATCCCAGCCTTCCCACACACATCCCAGCCTTCCCACACACATCCCAGCCTTCTCACACACATCCCAGCCTTCCCACACACACATCCCAGCCTTCCCACACACATCCCAGCCTTCCCACACACATCTCAGCCTTCCCACACACATCCCAGCCTTCCCACACACATCCCAGCCTTCCCACACACATCCCAGCTTTCCCACACACATCCCAGCCTTCTCACACACATCCCAGCCTTCCCACACACACATCCCAGCCTTCCCACACACACATCCCAGCCTTCCCACACACATCCCAGCCTTCCCACACACATCCCAGCCTTCCCACACACATCCCAGCCTTCCCACACACATCCCAGCCTTCCCACACACATCCCAGCCTTCCACACACATCCCAGCCTTCCCACACACATCCCAGCCTTCCCACACACATCCCAGCCTTCCCACACACATCCCAGCCTTCCCACACACATCCCAGCCTTCCCACACACATCCCAGCCTTCCCACACACATCCCAGCCTTCCCACACACATCCCAGCCTTCCCACACACATCCCAGCCTTCCCACACACATCCCAGCCTTCCACACACACATCCCAGCCTTCCCACACACATCCCAGCCTTCCCACACACATCCCAGCCTTCTCACACACATCCCAGCCTTCCCACACACATCCCAGCCTTCCCACACACATCCCAGCCTTCCCACACACATCCCAGCCTTCCCACACACATCCCAGCCTTCCCACACACATCCCAGCCTTCCCACACACATCCCAGCCTTCCCACACACATCCCAGCCTTCCCACACACATCCCAGCCTTCCCACACACCCAGCCTCCCACACACATCCCAGCCTTCCCACACACATCCCAGCCTTCCCACACACACATCCCAGCCTTCCCACACACATCCCAGCCTTCCCACACACATCCCAGCCTTCTCCCAGCACACACATCCCAGCCTTCCCACACACACATCCCAGCCTTCCCACACACACATCCCAGCCTTCCCACACACATCCCAGCCTTCCCACACACCCACATCCCAGCCTTCCCACACACACATCCCAGCCTTCCCACACACATCCCAGCCTTCCCACACACATCCCAGCCTTCCCACACACATCCCAGCCTTCCCACACACATCCCAGCCTTCCCACACACATCCCAGCCTTCCCACACACATCCCAGCCTTCCCACACACATCCCAGCCTTCCCACACATCCCACCTTCCCCATCCCAGCCTTCCCACACACATCCCAGCCTTCCCACACACATCCCAGCCTTCCCACACACATCCCAGCCTTCCCACACACATCCCAGCCTTCCCACTCACATCCCAGCCTTCCCACACACATCCCAGCCTTCCCACACACATCCCAGCCTTCCCACACACATCCCAGCCTTCCCACACACATCCCAGCCTTCCCACACACATCCCAGCCTTCCCACACACATCCCAGCCTTCCCACACACATCCCAGCCTTCCCACACACATCCCAGCCTCCCAGCCTTCCCACACACATCCCAGCCTTCCCACACACATCCCAGCCTTCCCACACACATCCCAGCCTTCCCACACACATCCCAGCCTTCCCACACACATCCCAGCCTTCCCACACACATCCCAGCCTTCCCACACACATCCCAGCCTTCCCACACACATCCCAGCCTTCCCACACACATCCCAGCCTTCCCACACACATCCCAGCCTTCCCACACACATCCCAGCCTTCCCACACACATCCCAGCCTTCCCACACACATCCCAGCCTTCCCACACACATCCCAGCCTTCCCACACACATCCCAGCCTTCCCACACACATCCCAGCCTTCCCACACACATCCCAGCCTTCCCACACACATCCCAGCCTTCCCACACACATCCCAGCCTTCCCACACACATCCCAGCCTTCCCACACACATCCCAGCCTTCCCACACACATCCCAGCCTTCCCACACACACATCCCAGCCTTCCCACACACATCCCAGCCTTCCCACACACACATCCCAGCCTTCCCACACACATCCCAGCCTTCCCACACACATCCCAGCCTTCCCACACACATCCCAGCCTTCCCACACACATCCCAGCCTTCCCACACACATCCCAGCCTTCCCACACACATCCCAGCCTTCCCACACACACACATCCCAGCCTTCCCACACACATCCCAGCCTTCCCACACACACATCCCAGCCTTCCCACACACACACACACCCACATCCCAGCCTTCCCACACACATCCCAGCCTTCCCACACACATCCCAGCCTTCCCACACACATCCCAGCCTTCCCACACACACATCCCAGCCTTCCCACACACACATCCCAGCCTTCCCAGCACACACACATCCCAGCCTTCCCACACACATCCCAGCCTCCCACACACATCCCAGCCTTCTCACACACATCCCAGCCTTCCCACACACACATCCCAGCCTTCCCACACACATCCCAGCCTTCCCACACACATCCCAGCCTTCCCACACCATCCCAGCCTTCCCACACACACATCCCAGCCTTCCCACACACATCCCAGCCTTCCCACACACATCCCAGCCTTCTCACACACATCCCAGCCTTCCCACACACATCCCAGCCTTCTCACACACATCCCAGCCTTCCCACACACATCCCAGCCTTCCCACACCCCCAGCCTTCCCACACATCCCAGCCTTCCCACACACATCCCAGCCTTCCCACACACATCCCAGCCTTCCCACACACATCCCAGCCTTCCCACACACATCCCAGCCTTCCCACACACATCCCAGCCTTCCCACACACATCCCAGCCTTCCCACACACATCCCAGCCTTCCCACACACATCCCAGCCTTCCCACACACATCCCAGCCTTCTCACACACATCCCAGCCTTCCCACACACATCCCAGCCTTCCCACACACACATCCCAGCCTTCCCACACACATCCCAGCCTTCCCCACACACACATCCCAGCCTTCTCACACACATCCCAGCCTTCCCACACACATCCCAGCCTTCCCACACACATCCCAGCCTTCCCACACACATCCCAGCCTTCCCACACACACATCCCAGCCTTCCCACACACATCCCAGCCTTCCCACACACATCCCAGCCTTCCCACACACATCCCAGCCTTCCCACACACATCCCACCACCACATCCCCAGCCTTCCCACACACATCCCAGCCTTCCACACACATCCCAGCCTTCCCACTCACATCCCAGCCTTCCCACACACATCCCAGCCTTCCCCACACACATCCCAGCCTTCCCACTCACATCCCAGCCTTCCCACACACATCCCAGCCTTCCCACACACATCCCAGCCTTCCCACACACATCCCAGCCTTCCCACACACATCCCAGCCTTCCCACACACATCCCAGCCTTCCCACACACATCCCAGCCTTCCCACACACATCCCAGCCTTCCCACACACATCCCAGCCTTCCCACACACATCCCAGCCTTCCCACACACATCCCAGCCTTCCCACACACATCCCAGCCTTCCCACACACATCCCAGCCTTCCCACACACATCCCAGCCTTCCCACACATCCCATCCCACAGCCTTCCCACACACATCCCAGCCTTCCCACACACATCCCAGCCTTCCCACTCACATCCCAACCTTCCCACACACATCCCAGCCTTCCCACACACAGATCCCAGCCTTCTCACACACATCCCAGCCTTCCCACACACATCCCAGCCTTCCCACTCACATCCCAGCCTTCCCACACACATCCCAGCCTTCCCACACACATCCCAGCCTTCCCACACACACATCCCAGCCTTCCCACACACATCCCAACCTTCCCACACACATCCCAGCCTTCCCACACACATCCCAGCCTTCCCACACACATCCCAGCCTTCCCACACACATCCCAGCCTTCCCACACACACATCCCAGCCTTCCCACACACACATCCCAGCCTTCCCACACACACATCCCAGCCTTCCCACACACATCCCAGCCTTCCCACACACACATCCCAGCCTTCCCACACACATCCCAGCCTTCCCACACACACATCCCAGCCTTCCCACTCACATCCCAGCCTTCCCACACACATCCCAGCCTTCCCTCACACATCCCAGCCTTCCCACTCACATCCCAGCCTTCCCTCACACATCCCAGCCTTCCCACACACATCCCAGCCTTCCCACACACATCCCAGCCTTCCCACACACATCCCAGCCTTCCCACACACATCCCAGCCTTCCCACTCACAGCCTTAAGTGCCTCACTAGATAAGTTTCGATAAGAAAATACTGTATATATTTGCCGATCCTTCTTAAGAAGTTTTCTGCTTTATATATCTTTAAATATATGTCTTATATATATATCTTTAAATATTTTTATCTCTTATATAGATATGTTAAATATATCTCTTATATATCTCTTCCCTTGTCCCCTTATATTATTTTTTTTTTTTTTTTTTTTTTTTGAGATATATACAAGAGTTGTTACATTCTTGTACAGCCACTAGTACGCGTAGCGTTTCGGGCAAGTCCTTAATCCTATGGTCCCTGGAATACGATCCCCTGCCGCGAAGAATCGTTTTTTCATCCAAGTACACATTTTACTGTTGCGTTAAACAGAGGCTACAGTTAAGGAATTGCGCCCAGTAAATCCTCCCCGGCCAGGATACGATTAGGATTATCCCCAAACAATGAATCACAATTTTTCTTACTTCCATTGTCAACTAATTTCCGCATGTTTGTATCCAAGAAAGCATCCAAATCTGTGTTATTTTACGTATAACTCTGTCTTTATAGCCAAAATGCATGAGAAAACTCTTTTGACCCCCTGAAGGATTCGAATGGTTCGAATCCTTCAGGGGTTCGCTGAAGGATTCAGGAAATTTTCGGATCCTTATATATATCAGATATATCCTTATGTGTGTACTTTAAGGGTGTACATTTCAACTCGGTACACAACTCAATGTACGTTTCCCATATTTGTCATTTTGACCATCTTTGTCTCGAAGGCACGAAGCACAATTCATTCTTCCTTGATGAATGTTCTTTATGCCAAAGTTGGCGCCCGCACCTCTCTTGCATGTTAATATCTCACACACTGCAGGGCTCTCCTCCGCAGACTGACTGAGGCTCACCGCAACGCCATCAGGGCCATCAGAAAGATCAAGTATTTCGTGGCAAGGCGGAAATTCCAACAAGCCAGAAAGCCCTATGACGTGAGAGACGTTATTGAACAATACAGCCAGGGGCACCTCAACATGATGGTCAGAATTAAGGTGAGTGCCTTTGACGTTTTGTCACATGCAAAATGCCTTATTTTCGGAAGTTAATTTCAAGGGACGGGGAAGGGGAGGGGGGAATGGTCATTGTCAGAGGGAAAATGTTTCTCACGCATGTCATAATACGTATATTCTATAAATTTACAAATCCCGAGGTGGGAACGAGAGGTATGTACATTCGAGTGTATGTGCTCGTACTGTAGGCTGGACGCACTCTGTGAAACCATTGTATTGTTTTTCTAAGTTAGTGTACAGTCTCTCCTGAGCTCCCGGGTCGTTTTCTCTGATACCCGCTGTGGTGTAAGAGAGAACGAAGGCGCTACAAGGGTGTCTAATAATAATAATAATGTTTGTTTACTAGAAGGTACAATGAGTATGTGAGAGTACAAAAGTTTGTTATTTTTACATTCTTGCAAAGCCACTAACACGCATAGTGTTTTGGGCAGATAAAGATAATACAATTATCTTTACCTGAATTTGTCTCAGGGCCATTATGTCTCTATAGTGGTCTTGATGAAGACAAGAAGCCGGCGGTTTGTCCAAGGTTCCCTCCTACCCCCGCATTTGTCCTGATGATTTTATCGAACTGAATCATGAATTGCAGAGTTTTGACATTTAGTGTTGTTGTGTAATGTTTTTAAAAGTTAGGCTAATTATATAATTACAGATTACTAGAATGATTTCACTTTGGCTTGCTGACAAGTTATTTTTTTCCCACCGACTGGTTCTTGCTCTTCAGGACAACGCTTCTTTGTAGTGCGTTTCTTATTTGTGCCGGACGACGCTAACTGTATCTTGCCCGCACCTTTCACGACCACTGGAGGGGCTTGATGTTTAAGGAACGCCCGGATTCTGACTTTGGTGCTCAGTGTTTTCCCTTATGGTTTCCTTCCTAAGGTCACTTTCCTTTGTACTCACCTAGTTGTGCTTGCGAGGGTTGAGCTCTGGCTCTTTGGTCAGCAGTGGTATCCGTGTGGAGTTATTACCGTGTGTGGGATCTGCAAGCTGGTCACCCCGGATCACTCCCACGGTTATGGTGAGTTGAAGATGGTGAGTTGCCTCATGTTGGTGCCTGACTTGGGTATTCTCCAGCTGTGTTCTCTTCTGTAAACCTTCCCCCCCTCCTTTAACTGTTTGTGGGATAGTTCATCTCTGGCATCTACGTGTGTCCCTGTGGCCTGGGACTCGGTTCCAGGTAGGCCTTCTTCTCTGCTTGTAGGCCTCCTCCTTCCCTGCTGGTAGGCCTCCTCCTTCCCTGCTGGTAGGCCTCCTCCTTCCCTGCTGGTAGGCCTCCTCCTTCCCTGCTGGTAGGCCTCCTCCTTCCTTCCTGCCGTGTGGGGCTCCTTATCCATCCAGGGGTTTCTTCGGGTGCTTGCTCGTGTTTTCTCCTGAGGCGGTTATCCTCCTTGCTGCTTCACTTATCTCTTATTCTTCATTTCACGTAAACTTTCCCGTTTCCTCTACGTCCCCCATTTTTAGGGGTGATTTTCCCCCCCGTAGTGAAGAGGCTGAGGAGCAACCAAAGGGGCCTTGCTCAGGATCTGGTGGTTCAATAAAATGAAATGCTACTTCCTTGAACCGGTCCTTCGGTTATTCCCCTTCCTCTCGTCTGTTCTGGTAGCCGGTGCTGCTGCCTGGTAGCAATCGTGGTAGCGGCTAGTTGTTAACCTGTAATTACCTAAAGCGCGTCTGGGAACTTCCAGTGCATAGGTTTGAACTCTCATCGAGGCTCCTGTGGATTTAAACCACTGGCAAAGTTGCCTGTCACAATTCCCTGAACCGAAGAACCAGCTGAGAAAGAAACGTTTCATTGATCAGTTTTTATTTCTCATTTGCGTCATCATGAGAAACATATTCAGTCATTTCAACCTTTTCAAACTTTAGTTCACCAACAAGCATCTTCAACTGTAACGCGAGAAGTCACAAGTTTCCCGTTGTCAGTCGTCATTCATTAGTTACCTGTTGCGAGTCGTCATTCATTAGCTACCTGTTGCGAGTCGTCATTCATTAGCTTTCCGTTAACTTGGAAAGTTCATTCAGTAAACCTATTACAGTTTTTCCTCCCTACTTTTCTCATTCTCGTAGCCTATTTCCATTGTTAGTATTTCCTCTGTTCTCTGTTTACATCGTCGTTTGTACGTCAATTCTCCTCTCATTTTACACAGCTGTGTGAACTTGTGTTTTCTGAGAAGTACGAGCCCCTGATCTATGTGTACAATATGCAGGAAAGCCACCATAATAGTGTGTCTGAAACAACTATGCCAACCCACACAAATGAAATGAAAGTGAGGTCAGAGGATCGTTGGCTTGTTTCAGGTGTAGGCTAGACGTATGAGTTTGCGTGGCGACGATGAGTCACAATGACGTGGCTGAAGATATGATGACCAAACTACTCATCAGAAGATGAGGAGACGACGACGTTTCGGTTCGTCCTGGATTATAATTACTTTCTTCTCTTACCTGCTCCTCCTGTTACAGTCAGTGGTGATATACTTTCAATCACAGAGTTAACTTAGTGTTAATGCACTCACCCAAATATTCACCTTGAACTTCATCAATCAATCTAATATTCATCAACCAATCAATCACTCTCAAACAAACTCTCTCAAACGGAGGCCCAGTCTCCGTGGTGTAGTGGTAAAACACGCTTTGTCAAGGGTTCGTATCCTGGCCGGGGAGGATTTACTGGGCGCAAATCCTTAACTGTAGCCTCTGTTTAACTCAACAGTAAAATGAGTACTTGGTTGTAACAACGATTCTTCGCGGAGGGGATCGTATTCCAGGGACCTGCCCGAAACGCTACGCGTACTAGTGGCTGTACAAGAATGTAACAACTCTTGTATATATCTCAAAAAAAAAGAAACTTATTCATGCCCGTGCCACTTCTTAAGTGGCTCATCAATCAATAACTCTCCCTCACACATGACTTGATAATGGTCAAGGACTGATCGAAACGTCGTCGTATCTCTATCTTCTGATTGGTCGTCAGTTTGGATGGAGCTGCCTCCTGGTGGCCAATTGGCTTCTTGGAGACTGTAACTTCTTCAATTTCATTACACATGTGTCGGTTTATATGTGTGCGTGGGGGTCATATGTGTGGATTCCTATGTATGTGGGATGGGTTTCATAGGCACAGTAATAAATATCTGTCATTTTTGCTATCTGGAACGATATATATGTCTCAGTTGTGTCGTATACCTGACTATTGTCACATATGTGTAGTTATCATTAGGACTGTAAGGAAAATGTACGCATCTGGTTTGCAATGAACAAATCCACAAGGGCCGTGACGAGGATTCGAACCTGCGTCCAGGAGCATCCCAGACACTGCCTTAATCGACTGAGCTACGACAGGGATGCTCCCGGTCGCAGGTTCGAATCCTCGTCACGGCCCTTGTGGATTTGTTCATTTGATGCATCACGTTATTGTGATCTCTGTGTGTGTAGTTTGCAATTTTCAGTTGAAAACATCAGCATAATCTTTTATTTCTTCAGGAACTTCAGCGTCGGCTTGATCAGACTTTGGGCAAGCCTGGAAGCTATTTAAGTGGTATAGACAAGTCTGGCAACGTTAAGCCTATGACCATCGGGGCGAGGCTCTATAGAGTTGAACAACAGGTAAATATTCTCCCAAGTTACATATCCCGACCGTCCAAGTGGTTGGGCACCATTCCTTCCCCGCCGTCCCATCCCAAATCCTTATCCTGACCCCTTCCAAGTGCTATATAGTCATAATGGCTTGGCGCTTTTCCCCTGACAATTCCCTCCCTCTCTCCAAGTTACATATATATTGTTTAAGTCTAATTTTAGCCTAATTATATTATAATACTGGCAATGTATACATTAAATGATGTCTTATTATTTTCACAAATGCTGTCACTATTTTCACATTCCCTTCTCACCATTTGACTATCGTCAAATCATCCCATTCTCCTGTTTAGAGAGTAGTTTTTGTAACTATGTGCACCATAGTACAAAGATTGACTTTACAGGCGATGAGTCACAATAACGGGGCTAAAGTAAGTTGACCAGACCACACACTAGAAGGTGAAGGGACGACGACGTTTCGGTCCGTCCTGGACCATTCTCAAGTCGATTGTGAATCGACTTGAGAATGGTCCAGGACGGACCGAAACGTCGTCGTCCCTTCACCTTCTAGTGTGTGTGGTCTGGTCAAGATTGACGTTCTAAGTAATTAGATAGTAGAACTTTGTATTATTCACTTTATAAGGGTTTCGAAAAAAATGAAGCTAAAAACTAACTCAAATATTCGTAGGCCTAGTAAAGCACATATTTGTACTATATTAGGCCTTAGCTATCGTGTATTAGGCCTTGGAAGGTTAGGTTAGTTTAGTTTATCTTTGCAACATAAATACAAAATCTTTGACGGTTTGTTCAAATTCAATAGTGCCGATTTCTACTTTCTAATCGCGTCGTACGTCGGTGTATATACTATGGTCCTCATCGTTACTATTTAGCAGGCATCCTTCACTCTAAAGACTATGGAGTCGCGCCCTGACAGGGCGCAAAGCCTGGGTAGGTAGCTATGGAGGAGAAGCTGTTACACATGCAGCAGGTCCCCCCTCTCCACGTTGCTGACATTATCCAATAGAAAGGCAAATGCCAATACACATGGTTCCAGCAACGTCGCAAGAGCTGCCAGAACGAGGTCGAAGTCAACAACGAACTGCCTTAGAGGCTCCAACTCCAGATTTTTCCTCGAGGTTGACTCCTGAAGCCTTTCCCAAAAAAGGGTATGGCCGCAAGACAGCGGAGGTTTATAATCAGGGTTTTCCTTCCCATCGTTACTATAAGTACTAACAAAACAGGAGGATGGGCTGGTCAAAATTGAAAAATAGTTTGTTTTTTGCCTAAACAGAAGGCGTCGGTATTACAGTACTGAAAGTGAGAGGACAGGGAGATTTTTATGCTGTGCTGTCTTTAATTTCTGAAAGTAAACTATTCAGTCTGTCCCTGAAGCAAGCCTCCAGCTCTTCACTGGACGTGCTGTCAAGTGAAGAAGAAGAAGAAGAAGATGCAATGTTGCTCTGCAACTGGCCTGCAGCTTTGAAGAAATAATTGTATCAGTGGTAACCAAGGTTGCATATGGCAACAGTGGGGTGACATGAAGATATTGGGAGTAGGTATTTACAATCTCTCACTACACAACAGAAGGCCTAATAAGAAAAAATATGACAACTCTAACGAGACCATCCTGAAGGCTGAGGAAAATGCAGTTACTCTTGCCAGGGAAACGAGACCAAAGGACAGACGATACATCCCAGGAAATCACGTTTAAACAAAAATTCAATTAAAACAAAGAAACCCCAAAAGGGGTCACAGCAAAGCCTGAAGGAAACGTGTGATTGCAATCCTTCAGCTGCTTAAGTGACCTCATAACTTATCTTGTCGGGGACAGGCAGACTGTGTTTATTAATTCATTAATGTTGAGCCTAACGTTCTAAATAGGTTAGGTTTATATCGAGATCACCCCAAGGTCGAACTACTGACTCTCCCCAGGATGCTAATCATAACAGTTGCCTGACTTGCGGGTACCTGTTTACTGCTTGATGCTTGTTATCTTGAGAGGTTATCTTGAGATGATTTCGAGGCTTAGTGTCCCCGCGGCCCGGTCCTCGACCAGGCCTCCACCCCCAGGAAGCAGCCCGTAGCAGCTGTCTAACTCCCAGGTACCTACTTACTGCTAGGTAACAGAACATCAGGGCTCATAACAGAACATAAGGGCTCCATTAAGGAACATATAATCTCTTCCCACAACCAGACCATCACCAGAGAAGTCTTAACAAACAACACAGAAATCATCGGTAGATACAGCGATAGCAGGCGGCTTGACATCTGCAAGGCACTTCACATCAAGAAGTCAACACCAGCAGTCAACAGCCAATTAATGCACAACTATATTCTACCCACTTCAAGACTCCATACCAATATAGAAGCATCAAGAGGAAGTATGGGCCAATAGGCCCTTTGCAGTTACTTCCATTCTTCCCTTTCATCTATACCAATTGAACCGTGTTCTGTCTTGTGTTGAAAGTTTGTTTACCTCATCCTCGTAGGCTGGTGGATAGCGCGCAGGACTCGTAATTCTGTGGCGCGGGTTCGATTCCCGCACGAGGCAGAAACAAATGGCCAAAGTTTCTTTCACCCTATGCCCCTGTTACCTAGCAGTAAATAGGTACCTGAGTATTAGTCAGCTGTCACGGGCTGCTTCCTGGGGGTGGAGGCCTGGTCGAGGACCGGGCCGCGGGGACACTAAAGCCCCGAAATCATCTCAAGATAACCTCAAGATCCAAAACTGTTGTAACATATCACCTCACCCAAATATGAGTATATAAGACAAAAGCTGTCTTATATATATATATATATATATATATATATATATATATATATATATATATATATATATATATATATATATATATATATATATAAAATCACAGATAACACCCTTTGTGTCAGTTTCACTCAGGACATCACAAAATCCTCTGCATTCTTCTATGACGGTGAGTCCTTCCTCTAGCACAACACTCAAGGCTCCTTTCCTGTGTGCCCTTCTGAGGTACTCACGCCAGCGAGTCCTCTTTTCCATCAATTCACAAGCCATTCCTCCGCAGTATTATCACAGTGTCTAAACACTATCATCACGCTAGCTGGCTTCCTTTTAAGGCTTAGCTAAAAACATGCTTTAACCTAGAGGACTGACAGACGTTCACTCCGTCTACGAACTTGGCCACCCTGGGATACGTCGTTCCAACTCCAATAGCTCGCTGGCTACCACAGACAGGTCACTGCCTTTAACATTGTGATCCTGAGGCCTGCTCTTGCTGGCCACTCTTGGTGGACTGCCTTCCGCCCTCCAACGTATCTCTCACCTACATCACCACTGAAAGGAAAGAAAGTCAGATAGTACGAAGGAAACTACACCTGTTTAAGTGAGACCTCAGCCTTCCAATAGTGAACACAGAAAATGGGGTCAGATGTGGTCGATAGATGGCTTTATCGTCGTCACATCATCTCTTTTGTTTGTATTGGGAACACTGATGTCAAATATACAATGTGGGTTGTCTTTTGATCATCAGTTATAATTTGGTCTCGTCTTTTGTCTTTGTTTGACTTTTATGTTGGCATAAAGAGTCAGGAGCGCTCTTTGAATAATATAATTGAATGTCCCTTCTTTATTTCTCATAATCTATGTGATCCCTGATGAATTGATCTTTGTCATCAGTTCATCACCTCTGTCTGTTTAACTGATCCCTGTCATGTCTTCAACACCTGTGTCTATTTAGCTGGTCCCTTATTATTTGTTCACATCTCCAGTTGCCTTTCTGATACGATTGTTTCATAATCGATTTGATGTAATTTGACATTATCATAAACTACTTACTTATTAAATGAACCAATCCACAAGGGCCGTGACGAGGATTCGAACGGCTCTTGTGGATTTGTTCATTTCATGCATCACGCTATTGTGATTGTTGTGTACTTACTTATTTATCGGGTTTACTGATATTAACTACTTGTCCACAGCTGGTGCTCCTTGACAAGAAACTGGACCAGATGCTGTTTGTGTGTAATGCCTTGGCCCAGAAGAGCCAGCAGCCTGAGCTCCGGAATAACGATGACCACGTATAGTGATGCCAGTCCATCCTGTGTTACAGGTCCTGTAGTAACTGTACATATTCTAGCCAATTTGTTATTTTGGGTTTTTTTGCTTAGAAAAAGGACTCGCCACGTAAACGCTTTAGTAATTGAGATTGAGATCTACTAGAGAGCTTCGATCACCTGATCTTTCACAGTTATGGATTCTTCAGTATATATAAGAGGTAATAAATATATTTATTTTTTATTGTAGAATATTGATGGAAAAATGGAAATTGGATTAGTTTTATTGTGGTATTTGATTGGTAATTTGTCAAGATTTGTGTTTTAAATCTTTGAGATTTGGGAAATATGATTGATCAAGTTAGAAAATACTAAAGGTTGTTACCCGGAAAGGAAGGAATTGTGTAACTGTCAAAATCTTCACTGTGGGATGTGAGTTCATAGATTACATTTTTCAAGGAAATAAATAGCAGTGATATTTTTTCTGAGTTCTCCATAAATTGTACTGATGTAGGATAACTGAAATTCAGTATTGAAGTTTGAAATGTGAATCGGGTATTAATATTGTAGGTGTATAGTTAAGTCAAAGTCAAAAAAAGTAATATTTTTGTATTGTAAACTTTACGGTACGATCATAAGGCTATATAGATATGCCATTCAAACATATTGGCCAGATAAGCCAACTAATTTTTGTACAGCCTGTCCTAATTCATTCTAGTTCAACACCGGTTGAATTCATTCTAGTTCAACATTCTAGTTAAAATGTTTTAAATCAAGTATTAGAACAGTGTAAAACATAGGTAAATATGCTCTAAAGGAACACTAATTAAGCATAATTATTTTGTCTATATAATTAACAAATTATACAGACATCCTTCAAACTTTATCTAATCTTAAGTGAATTTCTGTCAGCTGGAGTACAATACTTATTATCATCTTATCTATCCTCCTCAAAAAAAAAGTAATTATTATTAAAAAAATACATAAATCACATCACTGATTGAAGAAATTAATGACAATCCATCTCGAGAATATTATTATTGTAACACAGAGATGAATGTTAGCTCTGGTGTAATGGTGAGCACATTTGTGAGAGCACCTGACTCAATCCTGCACAGCACTGAATGATTCCTTCATTCTGACCAACACACTTGGCTTGAATTGAGGAAATGAGTGTAGAACGGCCGGCAGATTTATTTATTTATTTATTTATTTATTTATTTATTTATTTATTTATTTATTTATTTATTTATTTATTTATTTATATACAAGAAGGTACATTGGGTTAGAGAGAATACATAGCACAGTATTTGCAATCTTGTAAAGACACTACTACGCGCAGCGTTTCGGGCAGGTCCAGATTATCTGAAAGGGGGTACACAGGGCACTGAAAACCTAACAGGGGCACTGAATAACGTAACAGAGCACTAGAGAAGGCAACAGGGCATTGAATAACGTAACAGAGCACTAGAGAAGGCAACAGGGGCACTGAATAACGTAACAGAGCACTAGAGAAGGCAACAGGGCATTGAATAACGTAACAGAGCACTAGAGAAGGCAACAGGGCACTGAATAACGTAACAGAGCACTAGAGAAGGTAACAGGGCATTGAATAACGTAACAGGGCACTGGATAAGGTAACAGGGCATTGAATAACGTAACAGAGCACTAGAGAAGGCAACAGGGCATTGAATAACATAACAGAGCACTAGAGAAGGCAACAGGGGCACTGAATAACATAACAGAGCACTAGAGAAGGCAACAGGGCATTGAATAACGTAACAGGGCACTAGAGAAGGTAACGGGGCATATAATAACAAAACCACTTCATGTACCTAGTCCTGAAACCTAAATCTCAACAAAGCCTAGAAAATTATTCTTTTAGTTATTATAATTAAATTAGCATTAGATAATTAATTACATAATATAATTCATTTTTGGTGTATTATTTATTAGATTAAGTGATTAAAGTTTGAGTGGATTTAAGTAGGAGCTGCCTCGTATGGACCAATAAGAGCTGCCTCGTATGGGCCAATAAGAGCTGCCTCGTATGGACCAATAAAAGCTATACAGATGGTGAGTCACAATAACGTGTCTGAAATATGTTGGCCAGACCACACACTAGAAAGTGAAGGGACGACGACGTTTCGGTCCGTCCTGGACCATTTCGACGACGAAACGTCGTCGTCCCTTCACTTTCTAGTGTGTGGTCTGGCTAATAAGAGCTGCCTCGTATGGACCAGTAAGAGCTGCCTTGTATGGACCAATAAGAGCTGCCTCGTATGGACCAATAAGAGCTGCCTCGTATGGACCAGTAAGAGCTGCCTCGTATGGACCAATAAGAGCTGCCTCGTATGGACCAATAAGAGCTGCCTCGTATGGACCAATAAGAGCTGCCTCGTATGGACCAATAAGAGCTGCCTCGTATGGACCAATAAGAGCTGCCTCGTATGGACCAATAAGAGCTGCCTCGTATGGACCAATAAGAGCTGCCTCGTATGGACCAATAAGAGCTGCCTCGTATGGACCAATAAGAGCTGCCTCGTATGGACCAATAAGAGCTGCCTCGTATGGACCAATAAGAGCTGCCTCGTATGGACCAATAAGAGCTGCCTCGTATGGACCAATAAGAGCTGCCTCGTATGCACCAATAAGAGCTGCCTCGTATGGACCAATAAGAGCTGCCTCGTATGAACCAATAAGAGCTGCCTCGTATGGACCAATAAGAGCTGCCTCGTATGGACCAATAAGAGCTGCCTCGTATGAACCAATAAGAGCTGCCTCCTATGGACCAATAAGAGCTGCCTCCTATGGACCAATAAGAGCTGCCTCGTATGGACCAGTAAGAGCTGCCTCGTATGGACCAGTAAGAGCTGCCTCCTATGGACCAGTAAGAGCTGCCTCGTATGGACCAATAAGAGCTGCCTCGTATGGACCAATAAGAGCTGCCTCGTATGGACCAATAAGAGCTGCCTCCTATGGACCAATATACCGCCTTCAGTTTTCTGATTTGTTATGGTCTTGTGGTCTCATTTGTGGTCTACAAAATAGAGTACAACAGTGAAAAAAATACTTAACATTTTGTTAAATGAGACTAATGAGACTGAGAACCTTTATCTTCAGATGAACCTTTGCTCCTGCATTTTGGTTCCTCCGTGTCTGAGTGCTGGGCGCAGACAGCAGACTGTTAGGCCAAGCTGACTCTAAAGCTTAGTCTAAGCTTTATTCGAAGGATTGCAAGATGCATTGGCATCGCCACACGTTGCAAGCTGAAGTATTTATGCCTAGTCATTACTCTGGGAGAATTTAAGCCGACAGTAACAAATGGTGTGTCTCCCCCCCCCCCACCAGCTGCTGCATCCTGGGTGTTCTGAGGGGTGTTTGCGTTGTGTGTGCAGTCTGTGCTTGCAATGGTGGGGGGGGGTACATGATGTTGGAGGGAACAGCTTGCAACTGGTGTGAGACAAGGAGCACGTGTTACTGAGTCTATATGTTGTTTACACACATATGCAAACATACACATGCAAACACAAGAAAACACACACACATGCAAACACATGCAAACACACGAAGACGAAGCAAGACGAAGCTGGAAAAAGTTCAGAGGTACGCCACAAGGCTAGTCCCAGAACTAAGAGATATGAGTTACAAGGAAAGGCTGCGGGAACTGCACCTCACGACACTAGAAGACGGAAGAGTACGGGGGAGACATGATCACTACTTACAAAATTCTTAGTACCCAAATGAGCCACAGAGACATTAGAAAGAATTTTTTTCAGTGTCAGAGTAGTTAACAAATGCATTAATTAATGATGTGGTGGAGGCTGACTCCATACACAGTTTCAAATGTAGATATGATAGAGCCCAGTAGGCTCAGGAATCTGTACACCTGTTGATTGACGGTTGAGAGGCGGGACCAAAGAGCCAGAGCTCAACCCCAGCAAGCACAACTAGGTGAGTACACCCGTGATAGGAGGCAGAAAACATGTTTATTCCGGCTCAGAAAGAAAAAAAAACAGAAAAGCAAAAGGGGAATCCGAGGTTCAATCAGGCGTGTACGGAAGCAAGGCAGCTAAACACAAGGGCGTGGAGAAACTACAGAAATAACAGGATAGCAGAGAGCAGAGAGAGAGAGATACAAGAGGACCAGAAATAGATACCTCAGTGTGAGGAGAGAAGGAGAGAAGCTGTTTGAAAGTGACACAGCAAATATAGCCAAGACCCAACCAAAACTGCTCTACAGCCACATCAGGAGGAAAATAACAGTGATAGAACAGGTGATGAAAACGAAAAATCGAGAGGATGGGTACACAGAGAATGACAGAGAGGTGTGTTAAGAACTCAACAGGAGATCCCAGAGATCCCTTGAACTAGAGGGTGGCGATAAACCAAGCAGACTTGGAAGATATTGAAATTATCGGAGATGAGGTTAGGAGTTGTCTGCTCGATCTAGACGTGACTAAGGCTATTGGACCTGATGGAATCTCACCATGGATATTAAAGGAGGGGCAGAAGCACTTTGCATGCCATTATGTATGGTGTATATCAAGTCATTGGAAACAGGAGACCTACCAGAGAGTTGAAAGACAGCTAATCCGAATATACAAAAAGGGGGAATAGGCAGGAGGTCCTAAACTACAGGCCAGCCGATTTTTCGTGAGTAAAAAAAAACTGTAGCACATCTGGAGAGAAGAGACTTTGTAACACGCCACCAGCACGGGTTCAGGGATGGCAAACCGTGCCTCGCAGGTTAAATAGAATTCTATGACTAAGCAACAATCATTAAGCAAGAAAGGGAAGGATGAACGGACTTCATTTTCTTGAACTGTCAGAAAGCTTTTGACAAAGTCCCCCATAAGAGTCTGGTGCATAAGTTGGTGAAACAAGCTGGAGTAAGTGGTAGGGTGCTCCAATAGATAAAGGAGTAAGTGGTAGGGTGCTCCAATAGATAAAGGAGTAAGTGGTAGGGTGCTCCAATAGATAAAGGAGTACCAAAACAACAGGAAGCAGAGAGTTACTGTGAAGGGTGAGACCCCAGAATGGCGTGATACCTGCTGGATGGGGTTCTGGGAGTTCTTCTACTCCCCAAGCCCGGCTCGAGGCCAGGCTCGACTTGTGAGAGTTTGGTCCACCAGACTGTTGCTTGGAGCGGCCCGCAGGGCCACATACCCACCACAGCCCGGCTGATCCGGGTGATGTCACTAGCAGTCCCACAGGGCTCTGTACTCGGACCTATCCTGTTTCTGATATACATAAATGATCTTCCACTGGGTATATACTCATTCCTCTCAATGTTTGCTAATGCTAAAATTATAAGAAGGGTTAAGACAGAGGAGGAGGACAGCAAGAGACTACAAGATGACCTGGACAGAGTGAAGGAATGGTCCAACAAATGTCTACTAGAATTTAACTCAAGCAAGTCTAAAGTGATGATGAAGATAGTGTAGAGTGCAGGAGGCTAAACACAAGGTACCAGATGGGAGATGAAATTCTTCAGGAATCAGGAAGAGAGAAAGATCTGTTGGTTGATATCATGCAAGACCTGTCCCCAGAAGCCCCCATCCAAAGGATAACATCAGCGGCGTATGCATGGCTGGCAAACATTAGCACTACCTTTAGAAACTTGTGTAAGGAATCATTCAAAACCTTGTATACCACATATGTCAGACCAATACTTGGGTATGCGGCTCCAGCCAGGAGTCCATATCTAGTCAAACAAAACGAAGTTTAGAAAAGGTTCACAGATATGCCACCAGGCAAGTCCCCGAGCTGAAAGGTATAAGCTACGAGAAAAGACTACTGGAACTGAACCTCTCTACACAGGAAGACAAAAAAGTTAGGGGTTAGGGGAGACATGATCACTACCTATAAAATTATCAGATGAATTGACAGGGTAGGTAAAGACAAATGATTAACACGGGTGGTACGCGAACATCAAGGGGACACAGGTGGAAAATTAGTTCCTAGCTGAGCCACAGGGACGTTAGAAAGAACTTTTTCAGTATCAGAGTAGTTAACAGATGGAATGCATTAGGCAGTGATGTGGTGGAGGCTGACTCTATACACAGTTTCAAGTGTAGATATGATAGAGCCCAGTAGGCTCAGGAACCTGTACACCAGTTGAGAGTTGCGAGGCGGGACCAAAGAGCCAAAGCTCAACCCCCCCCCCCAACCACAACAAGTTGAGTACACACACAGGCCTCTCGGCTGAGTGAACAGCGCTCAGGGGTCGTAGACCTAAGGACCCGGGTTCGATTCCCGGCCGAGGCGGAAACAAATTTCTTTCACCGTGATGGAAATAGGGTGAAAGAAACACAACAGTAAATAGATACCTGGATGTTAGACAGCTGCTACGGGCGGCTTCCTGGGGATGTGTGTGTGTTCGTGTGTTATAAATATATGGCCAGGAGGCCTGGTCGACGACCGGGCCGCGGGGACGCTAAGCCCCGGAAGCACCTCGAGGTAACCTCAAGATATATGTAGTAGATATAATAGAGGAAAAATAGTTGATGATGGGCCGGACGAAATGTTTGCCAGGGTGCTTAAGGAATGCGAAGAGAAGCATTGCGAGCCACTGTCTACCATATTTAACAAATCATTAGAGTCAGGCAGAGTGCCAGAGTCGTGGAAGGTTGCTAATGTGGTACCAATTTTCACGAAAGGAGATAGATCACTTGCGTCAAACTATCGGCCAATTAGCTTAACGCCTATTGTGGGAAAGTTACTTGAATCGATAATTGCAAATAACATTCGTCTTCATCTCGAAAAACATAAATTAATAAATGATACACAACACAGTTTTACAAATGGCCATTCATCTTTAACAAATTTGCTATCAAATGAACAAATCTACAAGGGCCATAATGAGGGTTCGAACATACGTCTGAGAGGATCCCAGACGCGCCTTAATCGACTGTGCTACGACATGGTTAAAAGAATTGCAAACGGGAGTTCAACTGACCTCACACGGATCCTGCAGTCTCTCCGAGTAAGAACATAAGAACAAGGTAACTGCAGAAGGCCTATTGGCCCATACGAGGCAGCTCCTATTTATAACCACC